AATCAGCTAAATTAATAGCTGTTTTTAAATCTTTAACAGAGATTTCTTTTAAAGCTCTAAATCTAGCTTTCAATCTACCAAATGCATGTTCTACAATAACCCTATGCTTTGAATGAATAAAATTAAACTGACGTTGCCTATGATTAGAAGGATTTTTGAAAGAAAATATCAAAAAAGGGGAAATTGGATATGCTGAATCACCTAACACATAATCTTCATCTTGAATATATTCTATTCTATTAAGATAAAAATCTGAATTACTATAAACTCATACATCATATACCGATCTAGTATATAATTAATAAAATTTCCTTTAAAATCAACAATTCCTTGACATTGAATTGCATATCTTTTTTTCCTTGTAAAGTATGCTGTTGGATCTTGTGTTGGTATCTCAGTTAAAATAAAATGAGTTCTATCTATAGCTCTTATAACATTTTGAAATTCACTAATATTTTGAAATCCTGTATAAATAACACTTCAATTATTATCTTTAGGCCATTGAACAAATTCTGATTTTTTATTTCTTATTGCTTTCATTACATAATTAACATAAAGAATTACAGAACCTTCTGATATTTCAAATTGAGAACAAATACTCATGATATTATCTTTAGAATAAAGTCATCGAAGAAATATTACTAATTGAAAATCAACAGATACTTATGGCTTATTTCCTTTATTTTGAAATACTATATCATGCTGTAAGATTTGTACTAGCCTATTAAATTGTTATTTTTCCATTCTTAATACTTTTTTATATCATATATCATCATATAAAGGTAAGATTTCATACTATCATATCAATATTTAGATTTAATAACATTATGTATTTGAAAAACAAGATAACGACTAGAAGACAAAGCAAGAAGAACTATTTTTATTAGTTCATAGTTATCATCATCTAGTTTATTTAGGTTTAGTTCATTTTTAAAAGAATCATCTATCTCCTCCATTATTAATAAGAATAAAGCATAGTTTGCATCGTGTTTAATTGACATGATTGGTTAAAATTTAAAATAGAACAGATCAACTTAACATTTATCTGTTCAATTCTTGCCATTTTTTAATTGGTCAAAATAATTTCATGAAAATCAGATCAGATTAAAGTGGAACAGAATTGAACAGGGCTACTAATCCTCTAATACATTATTTTACTATAATGACTGACTATGATTAGTTTCGTAAACAAAATATTGCAAGAAGTAATTATATCTAACTATTAGTATTTTTTGCTATAGTTATTTTATATTGCTAGAAATTACCTAATACTTATAATCTGAATATAATTATAATAAAAATAATATCATCATTTTTGGAGAAAAATTAACTGAGAGGCGCTTTGCATGAATTAGCTTGAGTACTTTTTTCCTTGAACTTCTGCCTCACATTTATCTTTTTCTGCAAGTTCAATGGTGTGTCAAATCTTAGCTGAATTGCAAGAGGATCATCCTCAGGCTTATTGAGATCAAATACAATAAATTCTTTTTTTTGAAGATAGCTATTAATGACTATTGAAACATTTTTTACATCATCAGTATATTGTCTAATAATCTTAGAAATATTTTCATGCGAGCTAGTAGAATTACAGATTACTATGTGCGAGGCATTTTCACACATGAATGTATCAATTTTATGATATTTTTACACTATGTATATGCATGAAATATTCTGATAGCGCTCATTCACAAAAAATTGGCTAATTCAATTTTATATATGATTTAGAGCAAGTCATAAATCCTCAAAAATAATTGTTGTGCTACTCTCAAGCAAAAATGCTCTAACACTAGGAATTTTTTCTGGCGATATACAGTCCCCGCCAAAAGTAATGGCGGTGGGAATATTAAATTATTATTTAGTCGTCGTGTTTCCGGTGTTCCTATTTGACCCATTATTAATTAGGCTGATTTAGGCAATACAATGCTAATTTAAATAAAATAAACAAAAAAACCCGATCTTAATGTTATTTGTTTATTTTTACT